GGGATCTTCTCCGTGGGTCGTCGTGGCGGTGGAGGCGGGGGTCCCGCGGGGTCTCGAACTCCTGGCCTCGTGCCCTCCTCCCGCCTCGACCTCCCCCACAGCGCCAGGGCGACAGGCGTGAGCCCCCGCGCCCGGCCACATCGGGTCTTTGTGGGAGTTGTATCTGTCGATTTTGACCGTATCGGAAATTAAAACAGGTCTTTGCTGGTTGGTTAATTCGGAAACGACCGCAGTAAACAAACCCCTTGCATGTTAACATAATGTGATGAAAAGCAAAATCTTCCCAAACAGAAGCGCTAAGGAGTGGCTGTAGTTTATGTTTTTGCCAGTCTCCTTACTATCTGCATAAATTATAAGAGGTAGAAAGTAATTTGTGTTTTTTGTTTTTTTGGTTTTGGGGTTTGTGTGTGTGTGTGTGTGTGTCGGGGTCTCACTCTGTCGCCCTTGGAGTGCAGTGGCACGCTCATGGCCACCGCAGCCGCAACCTGCTGGGCTCAGCCTTCCAGGTGGCTGGAACCACAGGCACGTGGCACCACGTCCGGCTACTTTTTTCTTTTCTTTTCTTGTCTTGTCTTTTTTGTTTTTAATTGTAGAGATGAGGTTTTGGCAAGTTGCCCAGGCTGGTCTTGAACCCCTGGACTCAGGCAGTCCTCTCGCCTCCGCCTCCCAAAGTACTGGAATGACCTGTGTGAGCCGCTGCACCTGACCATCCGTAATGTGTGTTTTAAAGAGGAACATCTGACTCATAAAGAGTTACATGAGTTCAGAGAGGAAAGTACAATTTCCTACCCTGGGAGAGAGGATAAGCCATGGAAATATGATTTGACTGAGCCTTGAGAAATTGGAGCTTTTCCAGAGAGGCTGCAAGGACACTGGGTGAAGGTGGCGGCATTGGGGAGCTAGGGGTGGGACCTGGAGAGATCTGGAGGCACAGGAGGAAGTAGCGTGAAGTATGTGACTAATACCTGATACCCTGAATTCTTGGCCCTGTGCATGTCACATGAATTACCTCCTTCAGTCCTCACTTTTATGAGGTGGGCACTTAAACCTACCCTGTTTTATGTAACTTCTCTAGGATCACAGCATGATGTAATGTCTGTCTGCTTCTAAACACATTCCACTGGGCACGGTGGCTCATGCCTGATATCTCAGGACTTTGGGAGGCCGAGGCAGGAGGATTGCCTGAGCCCAGGGGTTTAAGACCAGGCTGGGCAACTTGTCGAGACCTCATCTCTACAATAAAAGCATTAGCAGGGCATGGTGGTGCAGGCCTGTAGTTCCAGTGACTTGGGAGGCTGAGGTGCAAGGATCATCTGAGCCCCACAAGTCGAGGCTGCTGTGGCTGTGAGCTTGCCACTGCACTCCAGCCTGGGCGACAGTGAGACTCCAACTCAAAAAAGTCCCCCCAAACCCATATATTCCTTATAAAGAATTTTAAGCCTTCTGACTCGACGTAGTGGCTCACACCTGTAGTCCCAGTAATTTGGGAATCTGAGATGGGAGCATCGCTTGAGTCCAGGAGTTTGAGACCAGCCTGGGCAATATACAAACAACGTACAACATACCTTGTCTACAAAAAATCAAAAAAATTAGCTGGGTATGATGGCGCATGCCTATAGTCCCAGCTACTTGGGAGTCTGAGGTGGAAGAATTAACTGAGTCCAGGAGGTCGAGGCTGTGTGAGCCATAATCATGCTCTGGAAACAGGGTGAGACTCATACTCAAAAAAGAAGTTTAGCATTCTGCGGTCTCTGAGAAGCACTGTAAGAATCTGAGCTGTGATGAGATGGTGAGATCTGTGTTAGGAAGGTACTTTGACATTCAGTGTATATTTGCTTCCATGTAATTTCTTACCTAGTCCAGGGGCATCGGTTCAATAATTAATGTGATATTGTATTGCATTTATGGGCCCTGGTGGACTTACCTGTTTATCTGTCATTGGACATTTAGATTTTGGCAGCACAGGGTGAGATAATCTGCAGGGAGTTGGTCTGATGGACGGTACCCTTACGCGCCGTTCTAACTGTGTTTCAGGAGCAGCAAATGGCTTTCTCATGGAAGTATGTGTTGATTCGGTGGAGTCAGCCGTGAATGCAGAAAGAGGAGGTAAGAAAGCAAAGCAAGACATCTGCTGCCCTTGTAAGTCTGAAAGTGCATTCTGTGAACTGACCTCGGAAGCCCTTGTGGTGTTTCAAAACGACCAACTAGAAAACCTGCTGGAAAATGACCATCGAGTCCCTCCCCTCCCTAGTAGGTCACATTTTGAGTCAAGTTCACTCACTCACTGCATTTTTTATTGAACACAGCAAAAATGTAACTTTTTTAAACTGTTGATTTAAAGATGACTTTGATCATCAGGACTTTTATCATCATCTTTTTTCTTTTGAACATTATCTATTTTTACTTCAAGGTTCCCTTGTTTCTTGAACTCGTTTTAACAGGAAGCACAGACATCACCATCCTCTTAGGATCAGAAAATGTTTTAATTTTTTTATTATGGAAAATACTTGGCTGGGCTTGGTGGCTCATCCTGTAATCCTGCGCTTTGGGAGGCCGAGGTGAGTGAATTGGCTAGCCCGAGGGTTCGAGACCCAGGGCAACTTGACGAGATCTCATCTCTACAATAAATTAAAAAAAAATTAGCTAGGCATGGTAGTGCGCACCTGTAGTTCCAGCTACTTGGAAGGCTGAGGCGGAAGGATTGCCAGAGCCCAGCAGGTCAAGGCTGCGGTGGCCGGGAGCAGCCACTGCACTCCAGTCTGAGTGACAGAGTGAGGCTCCAACTCAAAAACAAAAGAAAACATCAAACATAGCCAACAGCAGAGAGAATCGTAGGAGGATCCCCACGTACCCATCACTCAGCCTCAGCCGTTTTCAGCACGCGGTCATTCTTCATTAGTATCGTGTCAGCAAGCCTTTTCTGTGAAGAGCCACAGAGAGTGTGTTTTCAGCTTTGTTGGACACATTTGTTCTCTGTCATTTACTTTTCTTTGTTTTTTTAGAACAATCCTTTGAAAAATGTAAAGCTCTTATTCATTTGGCAGTAGAAGAAAATGAAGTACTGATATGCTACAGTGTGGGTTGATCTTGAAACATTGCTGAGTGAAAGAAACCCTGCTCAGAATAGCCCCTATTATACAATTCCATGTATGTGAAATGCCCCAAACAGGCAAGTTTATGGAGACAGGAAGTGGATGTGTGGTTGCCAAGGGACAGGTGACTGCTGAGCGGGGGCAGCTGTATTTTGGGTGATGAAGATGTTCTCAGGGTGATTGTGGTGGTGGTTTGCGCAGCAGGTACTGACAGTACTGAATTGCACACTTCAAAGGTGAATGGAGTGGCCTGTGAATTATACGTCAGTAAAGCTGCTGTTTTTAAAAAACATTCAAAGTTTCAGTTCATAACAAAACAAGTGACCACCTGTGGCCTGTAGGGCATAATTTGCTGACTTCAGACCTCTATTACCACCTTCCTCTCCCAAGGCCAGATTAAGCAGATTCCAGGCGTGTCATTTCATTCCCAAATGTTTCCGTGTGTGTCTCTAAAAGATAAGGACTCTTTGTGTTGTTTTAGTTCTTTATTGTTCAAAGGCCTAATGTGCATACGTAAACACATGAAATCTGGCTGGGCACAGTGGCTCATGCCTGTAATTCCTGCGCTTTGGGTTGCCAAGGCAAGAAGGAATCACTTGCGGCCAGGAGATTGAGACCAGTCTGGGTAACATAGCAAGACCCCATCTCTACAAAATGGTGATGTGTGCCTGTAACTCCAGCTGCTCGGAAGAGTGAGGCAGGAGGATCACTTGAGCCCGGGAGATGGAGGATGCGTAAGCCATGGTCACGTCTGTGAATGGCCTCTGCATTCCAGCTTGGGTGACAGAGCAACACCATGTCTCTAGAAAAAAAAATTCATAAGTAATGTGGAAGTTATTAATGTATATTGTTTAAGATAAAGTCCCTTTAACAAAAATAACCACAATATCACTGACCCACCTTTAAAACAATTATTTCTTGATGTCATTGAATATCCAGTCAGTTTTCAGATTTCTCCCGTACAGGGTTTTGTGTGTGTGTGTTGTCGTCGTTGTTCTTTTGTTTTAGTTTGTTTATTTGTTTGTTTTTAGTTTCTTGAA